AAAATTGATAACCATGATCAATAAATGATGTGACCTGAAAAATGTGAAATTGTGACTCGCAATTTATTAAGCTGTGGTCAAATAATTCGATAATTTGTGATCGAAAAATAACTTGTAACCAATTAATTTGATAATCTGTAATCGTGAAATAAGTTGTGACTTGTAAAATTTGCGACTTGTGACTCAAAAGTAACACGCTGCCTATTAATTTGATAATTTGTGACCGATAAAGAAATTGTGACCTATAAAATTTGTGATTTGTGATGACTTATTTCAATATTTTTCTTTCCTCATTTTAATGCACTCAACACTCTCTTATTTCCAAATTAACTACACACTCAAAATATATCCTTTATTATAATCCAAAAAACACAAATCTTACAAAAATTGTAGTTCGAACATCAATATTATAATAATAATAATAATAATAATAATAATAATAATAATAATAATAATAATAATAATAAATGTGTTCTTTTTTATATATTAAGATATACTTATCATATAGACTCACATTAATATATAAATAGTCACGACCACCAACACCACCATTGATACCACCACCACCAACATAACACCACCACCTCTAACCCATTATTCCATCATTTGCACCTGTACGGTTGCACCTAATGGCTCAGAAAGAGGCACAATCACAAGATGTGACTAACTGTGACCAAATATATCTTCAATGTGACTGCTTGTGACCAAATTTATCTTCAGTGTGACTGTTTGTGGCCAAGTCAATCACAATCGATCACAATTAAAACAGTGGTCACAACCAGTCACAATTAACACGGAATGGTCACAACCTTAACTGTGATGGTATTTAATCAAGTCACAATAAGTACAAATTTGGTAAGGTCACCACAAAGAAATCTGCACGCTCCTCAAACTAGCTCTACAATTCACCACTGGTCATCCCACCATCACCTCCAATGCACTACCACTACCACCTTCAACTCAAATTCACGCCCATAAATGGGCTAGCAGATTTTAAATATGTCCTCTTGACACAGTAAACTTTCTCAAATTGAACATGACCATATTGACTACATAAGAACACATATTTTATTTTTGTCCACAATTTTGGTTGTCCAGCAACCATCACAGCAAAATGTTGCAGAGCAACTCTTTTATTATTTCGGCCTTTGACTATCATTAATTACCTTAACCACCAATGTACCACAACTCTAACTCCCAAACTTATGTGTCACTATCAGTACTAACACATTCTGAAACAAAAATGGGAAAAAGAAACTTTTTTTCCTATTTGCTCAATGGATAACTCAATCGTCTCTTTTGCTGCTTACAATTAGATATCTAACAAGGGAATTTTCACATGAACAGAAACAAGAATGCAAAAGAAGTAAGTAGTCAAAAGACGCGAAAAAAAATAAAAATAAAAGTACAACAGTCGGGTCTACGAAAATTGTATCATCAACCTCCTAAAGCACGCTTGGGTTGCTCGGGTGTCATTCTCGTAGAGAACTTAACTTCAAACATGAGCTTCAAATCACCTCAGTTCCCCAGCTCCTTGGTGATTGGCATACCTTCTTGGGAAACCAATAACTCTTAACTCAGGCTCACAATGATGTTCACTAGGATCAAAAATATTATGTGGCTTATCATCAATTACAAACACGAGGTCCGCAGCCTGGCTTTACATCGATAGTCAATATCTCCGTTTTTGGCCTTAATCGTCCTCAACAAATTCATTCAAATAAGGAATTTTTGAGACTTTAACTCCCTGACTTATGCTCCACTATTAGTACTAATACATTCAGAAACAATATTAGGAAAATAGAAACTTTTTACAACCAACAGAACAAAGTAACTTAAAAGCTCCAAAACACCATACATAGACAAAGTGTAATCAATCATAGCAGGGAGTCCAAGGTAGAAGAAGATGATTGTAGAAATGGGGCTAGTGTCACTTTTTTGGGATGAGGGATGAAGATGATACAGGGATTAACGTGTGTCCAAATGACCAGACCTCACGGTGGATAAAAGATCAAGCAATTGTGAATACGTAGTACCTGAAAATGGAGCGGTGATTCTGGATCGTAGATCTGAAAATTCGAAGAAGTTGAGTTACGAATCGCGGACAGCAGTGCTTTTGATGGAAAATTCCCTCGGTGGATCCATTCACCAGAACTACTACCAACAGTCGTTCATGTGAGCGTTGTTGCGACGAACTTCGGTGACGGTAACTAGAGAGGAAGAGAAGCCGATGGAGAAGGTAGAGGAGAGAGAAAAGACTAATTAGCGTGGGTGGCTAGGGTACATAAACGCTTTTTATTAATAAATCTGTATTAATTCATTAAATAATTTTTATTTACCACCAGACTTTTGAAATGAAAGTTAATCTCCTTTATTCTTGAAAACTAGTCTTTAAACCTAGGTTTCTAGGTAATTTTCCCTTTAACTAAACAAGCTTAATTCCAGCTATGCTGAGCCTATGCATTTTGAAAATGTTTGGTTAAAGGTCTATACTAGGTAATAAGAAAAGAAAGTTGGACCAAAGCCTGTTGAAAGTTATTCAACTAATTTTTTATTAGTCATCATAGAAAAATATAAATGTAGATAAAACGATAGATTATACTAGACAATATAGTGAAAACACAAAATAGTATTGAAAGATATCTCCTTTCAAAAAATCTTGTTCTTGAATTCTTCCAATGCCTATCTATAAGCTACATTCGAAGGTGAAGGGAAGACTTCATCTATTGTGTGGAATAAAGAATTGATACATCAAACACAATATTGGAAGAAAATACATTGTATGCATCAAAGACTCGGTGCAATGAATCGTTACTACAGATTATTAAGTCAAATAAAAAGTCAACATTTACAATGGGGTTGGGTTGATTTTTAATGAACCGATCATGTTGGGTTGAGTTTGAATTGGGTAAAAAATCCACCCAACCCAAATCCATGCCCGACTATACTAATATCAATGGTTTGAAATCTTATATAAATTGTTAAGACTATAATTTCAACATATTTTTCCGTTAAAATAACTTCTTAAATTATTAGAAAATTATATTGGAACAAAGTTTTAGTATCCAAAGATACATCTTTGACCAAACAACTCCCCGGTGAGTCTAGACTTCCAATTCATCATCAACAATATACCAATTCTGGTAAAAATCATTATCTGACTTTGAGTTTATAATTAAAAAGAAAGGATAATCAACACAAATATCCTTACCTTTCAATATTATTGTGCAAAACGTTTATATCTTTCATTTATTGGAAGTTTACCCTTAACTTCACATTTTATTGCGGAAATCATCTTTTTCATCAAATTTCTCGTGCAAAATAACAAATATACCCCTTATTTAAATAAAACAATAAAAAAGAAAAGAAAAGTTAAATAATAAATTGCAATCATACTCCCAAAATTTTTTACAAAGTGCAAATGAATCCAAATAAATTATTGAAAGAGTAATTAGCACAAAACGTCAATACCTTTCATTATTGTGCAAAACATCCATACCTTTTATTTTTTGACATTTTCACCCCTATTTCATATTTTATTATGAAAATCGTTATTTTCATCTATTTTCTTAATTAAAAGCTATAAAATTATAAATATACATTTCTTTTTAAATAAACAAAAATAAAAAAGAAAAATAAAGAAAAAATTGCAACTGTATTTCCAAAATTTTCAAAAAAGTACAAATAAATTCCAAATAAATAATTTATAAAAAGTGATTTTTTTAATCACTTATTTTTTTAAATTTATTTATTTTTATTTTTGAAAATTTTGAGAGTATAGCTGCAATTTGTTCTTTATTTTTCTTTATGTAAAGAGGACAATATTTTTATCATTTTACAGCTTTTAATTGAGAAAATGAATGAAAATAATGATTTTTGCAATGAAATATAAAAATAAAAGTGAAAATATCAAAAAATGAAAAGTATGAAAGTTTTGCACAATAATAATAAAATGTAGGGATGTTTTATGCTAATTACCCTTTTAATAATTTATTTGGACATATTTGCACTTTTTAAAAAAGTTTGGGAGTATGATTACAATTTTTTGTTTAACTTTTCTTTTCTTTTCTGTGGTTTTATTTAAATAAGGAATATATTTGTCATTTCACATGAAAATTTTGATAAAAAAGATGATTTTTGCAATAAATGGTGAAGATAAAGGTAAAAATGTCAAAAAATGAAAGGTATGGACGTTTTGCACAATAACATTGAAAGGTAAGGACGTTTTGTGCTAATTACCCTTAAAAAAAAAATTAATGCAACCGTTAAATCGTGACAAGAATCGGTTGGTTCCACATCAAGATGTGACCAATTTACTCCAACTTACTTTTTTATTTACTATCAAATCTTGATTCGATCTTTTTCACTCACTACATTTTTCTATGAAGCATTACTTGAGTTAATTCTTAGAGCCTGTTTGTACGATTTTTGAAAAGTCAAAAGAAATTTTTGAGATTCATAATTGCTTTTGAATCCACTAAGTTAATTTTATATAAGTGAATCTTTTAGTCGAAAAACTTTTAGTCTTTAGAGGAACTAACATGATATTACTTCCTATGAAAGCATTTTCAAAGAGGAAGCTCTTTAAGAAATTTGTTTTCAAATATCAATTAAGGTATCTTTCTCAACAAATTCTCCTATGAGACATAGAAGCAACAACAATAGAAACATATCAAACAAAAATTAAGAGGTTAAATAGCACAAAATTCCCTATCTATTGGGCATGCTGCAGGAAATTTCTTACATTTTGAAAATAGCACAAAATGTTCATATTTGAAACTTTTAGTGTGGAATACCCTCGTGCACTCCATAATCTCAATAAAAAAATGTGAAATGACTAATACATCATCATATTCAAATAAAACAAAAAGAAAAATAAAGAACTAATTATAACAATAGTCCCAATTTTATTTTATTTTTTTTAAAAAAATACAAATATATCGCAAATAAATAATCAAAATTCAAAAACTAAAAAAAAAAAAAAATTCACTTTCTCTTCGTTTTTCTCTTTCCCCACCACCATTCACCACTGTCGTCTCTATAAAACCATAAATCAATATCAGAAATGCAAAATACAAAACCCAATTTCTCTTAAACTTACCCATAAATCACAAATTCAACTCCAGCAGCAACTGGCCTCTCTGGCTCATCAAATGCAAACTCATCAAAATGCAAGCAGTTCCTCAACTTCCCAGAAGCATTTACAGAGCCAACCAACATTCGGGCATTGTAAAATGTGTTTTCCAAATTGGTTTTCAAAAGTGGAAAAACTTTTTTCCTTGGTGTAACCACTTAGCATAAATCTGTTAGTTGATTTATGGTGATTTGGATCTGTGTTTCTTGTGGCTGATTTGGATCGTTGACGTGGATCTAACGGCTGTGGCTTAAAGGCATATTTTAGACTCTTGAACTGGCCCCGTCTGATTGATTTTCATTCATTCATTCTTTCAACCTCTAAACTCTTGTGTAACCTCACCTGTTCAAGATCGGTGGTATTCATTGTAAATTGAATCTAGTTTCTGATTTCTGACTTTTTGGTGTAGTGTGTAGTCAGATTTGGTTCGTGACTATGTATAGTTATCATCTGCGGAAGTTTTCAGTGTTCTTATAGTTGATTAAACTATATAGAGTTTTGGCTATAGTTGTTATAGTTTTGAGTCGATTAGGGGTTGCTTTTCTTGAGATCTATGTAGATCAGTGACAGTGTGTTGGGTCTGATTGTTGTACTCTAATCTCAAACTCTTTCTTGGGCGGTTCTTTGTACATAGTGACGGGCCCTTTAGCTCTGAGTCCCCAGATTAGGCGTTGCCGAACTAGGTGACCATTTCTTATGTTGATATTACCGTTTTGTACGAGTTTATTTTTCGGTGATTTACTTTCTATCTATTTTAGTGCATGAAATCCTAACAAAATTGATATCAAAGCCTCGTAAGGTGTGGGTAAGGCATCTCTGAAATCTAATCTGACTTTTCCTTTCGTATTGATTTGTTTCTTTGATCTGTGCAGTTTTTGAATACAGATCCGAAATGAGGATCTTGGAGGCTAGGGTTTGGTAAAGATGAATTGGAATTTTAAATACTGTTATACATAGTGTTTTGGTGAGACTATTCTAAACATTTTTTCTCAATAACAGATTTGGATGATTTAAATGTAATATGTGAATTTGTTGGATTACTATAGTTCAGTTTGTTCAAGAATCTGATTAAATTGTTTTATTGTAATAAGAGCACAATTAAATTTTTTTTTTTCAATCCGAGTGTTTGGTACCATTTGTGATAACTTTGAAATTGATCCTTCATGTTACTGTTTCAATTTGTACGTATTATATTACTATTGTTTTTTCATTCTGAGATGAGCTTGTCTCAAATTGCAAAAACTTTTTCTACAACTTAAATGTTCTTTCAAATTAAAAATTACTTATGTCTACGATAATAGCCACCCTTTTACATAACCTGCAATGAAGGTCGAATTATCACATTCGATAGAAAGGGGGACTACTCCATCTGGAAGTAGAAAATGAGGGTCATATTGGTCCAACAAAGGATTGCTAAAGTTTTGAATGATTTTAAAACTTTTTCTTCTAAATTGAAAGCTAAGCTCGATGAAATTCTAGATATGAATGAAATGAGATATAGTTCTGTTATATTATACTTATCTGATAATATAGTAAGACAGGTAGAAGATGCTAACACTCCTAGAGTTTTGTAGACTGCATTAGATGCTTTGTCTCTGACTAAGACATTGTCTAATAAGATCTACCTCTTAGAAAAATTCTTTAGTTTAAAAATGGAACTTGGGAAAGATTTGGAAGCTAATTTGAGTGATTTTAGCATATCTTAGTTAAGAGCCTTGCCCAAAATAATAAAAAATTTGAGGATCAGGCCCTTGAAGTGGATTCTTCTTAATTCATTACCTGATTCCTATAAGGATATTAAGAATGAAATAAAATACTCAAGACATGCACTAACATAAACAATTGTCACTAATGTTCTAAGATCTCAGGAATTGGAGGTCAAGAGAGAATCTAGAACAAATTCAGAGATGGGAGTACGTTTGTAAGAGGAAGAACTGAGAAGGAAAATAATTTCAACAACAGAAGATCCAAATAAAAATCTTAAACTAGATTAAACTCAAGAGATAAAAGCAACAAGAAATGTTACCATTGTAGAAAGTTAGGTCACTTTAAAAGAGATTGCTTTAAAATAGATAAAAGCAATAAAAATTGAATAATTTTGTCGTTGGTCCTAAATTAGATAACTTATTTGTAATGACGGTGTCTAATGAAGAAGACGATAAGGACTAGATCTTGGATTTAGGGTGTACATTCCACATATGTCCTAACAGGTCTTGGTTTAATAATTATACAGAAATTGAATCATAGAAAGTGTATATGGGTGATATTAACTCTCAAAGTGTTCTTAGTATAAGTGATATTGCCATCAAAATGTATGATGGTACCGTCAGGCAACTGAAAAATGTGAGATATATCCCAAACCTAAAAAGAAATTCATCTCATTGAGAATTCTTGAAGATGAAGGACATTCTTTCAAGTTTGAAAATAACACTTTGAAAGATATGAAGGGATCTTTGGTAATCTTCAAGGGACCAAAGAGAAATGTATTGTACTAGCTTATAAGAGAGACTGTCACTCCTCAAGATGCTAAATCTTTGAGCATAACTGAAAACAAATCAGAACTATTGCATAATAGAATGGAAAATATAGGAAATAAGGGTTTGAAGTATCTAAGTAACCAAAAATTACTTGGGAAAGATATATTGAGCACCTTGAATTTTGTGAAACATGTGTGTTGGGTAAATCACATAAGGTGAGCTTTGAGACTGGGTCACAGACCATATCTAGGCCCCTAGACTATGTCCAATTAGATTTATGGAGACCTGAGAATCAGCTTATCTTTAGAGAAAATAAGTACTTCATTTCTATAGTTGATGACTACTCAAGAAAGGTATAGACTTATCCATTAAAGACCAAATCTAAGACATTTCAAAAATTCATAACTTGGTCAAAGATGGCTGAGAATCAACTTGATAAGAAGTTAAAAGCTCTAAGAACTGATAATGGTTTGGAATTTTGTAATGCTAAGTTTGATAACTTCTATAAACAAAAGGGAATTGTAAGTCACAAAATTGTTAAGCACACACCTCAATAGAATGGGATAGCTGAAATAATGAACAGAATTCTGATGAACAAAGTTAGGTATATGCTAATTAGTTCTAAGTTTTTGGGCCGAGGCTATGACTATAGCTGTTTATCTTATAAATCGATCTCCATGCAGTTCTGTTGGGTTTAAGACTCCAGATGAACTTTGGACTGGAAAGCTCCCAAACCTTTTCTCAGATTAGCGTGTTTGGATGTACAGCATATGCACATTAGATTGAGGGAAAGTTGGATCCTAGAACAACTAAATGTATTATGCTTGGGTACCCTGAAGGGGTGAAGTGGTACAAATTGTGGGGGTTGGGTATGCAAGGTATTAAGATCATTAATAGCAGAAATGTAGTATTTAATAAATCTGAAATGTCATTTGTGAAGTGGTACATATTGTGGGTGTTGGGTGTGCAAGGTATTAAGATCATTAATAGCAGAAATGTAGTATTTAATAAATTTGAAATGTCATGTATGAAAAATTAAATCTATAATCCAAAAGAGCAAACTGGAAAGACTACCTCACAGTGTGAGGTAAAGTTAGCTAGGTTTAGTCACAACTAACCTGAGAATGCTGAAGCTGATGTTCAACAACCTGATGAAAATGTTGTTAACACAAATAAAGGTGAAGTAAATTTACCTCAAACTGAAGTTGAAATAGAAATTGTAAACTCAAATATTCCCACTATTGAGATAAGTACTCAAGATTATCAATTGGTTAGAGATAGGAAAAGAAGACAAGTCAAACCAAATCCAAGATACGACATAAATAACTTGACTAAATTTACCCTTATCTTCGGTGAATCTTTAGAGTATTTAGAAACTTCATCTTTTGAAGAGGCCATGAATAGCTCTAAATCTTAGAAATGGAAAAATGCCATGAATGAAGAGATGAAATCTTTACTTGATAATAAAACATAAAACTTGTAAAGAGACCTAAAAATCCAATAATTATTCAATGCAATTGGATTTTCGAAATAAATGATAGCATTACTTTATCTGACCCTGTGAGATATAAAGCTAAATTTGTACTCAAAAGCTTTGCTCAAAGGGAGGTTGTTGACTATAATGAGATCTTCTCTTTGGTTGTCAAATACAAGACCATAAGATTGATTATTGCACTAGTTGTTCAATTAAATTGGGAACTTAAACAATTAGATGTCAATACTGCATTCTTACATGGTGAGCTAGATAAGGATATCTATATGAGTCAACCCCAAGGGTTTGAGGTGAAGGAAAAGGAAGATTATGTTTACAAGTTGCAAAAATCATCGTACGGACTTAATCAAAATCGAAGGCAATGGTACATTAGATTTGACACATTTGTGTTGAAGATTGGATTCAAGAGAAGTGAATATGATCATTGTCTACACCATAATAATGTTATGGTTGGTGGTGAGGTTTATTTACTTCTATATGTTGATGACGTGCTATTGGCCAACTTTAGCAAAGCTAAATTAAGAACTTATTAAAGTTTGAATTTGATATGAAAGACTTAGAAAATGTTAAGAAAATTTTGGGAATGATTATTAACAGGAATAGACAAGAGAATAGTCTAACTAAAACACAAAGTGCTTATTTGCACAAGGTTATAACCAAATTTGGCATGAAAGATGCTAAGTGTGTGAATGTACCTCTTGCAGCCCGTATGAATCTATAATCAGCCCAATTACCTTAAACTGAAACTGAAGTGAAAGAAATAAAGAATATCCTATTTGTCAATGCTATAGGATTTGTCATTTTCTATAATCACTACTAGGCCAGACTTAGCTTATGCTATAAGTTTCTTAAGTAGATTTATGTCTAACCCTGGAAAACCTCATTGGGCTGGGTTAAAATGGCTTCTAAAATATATAGCTAGGACATTAAGTACCAGACTAGTGTCTGAAAGGAGATTTGAACAGCTTACTTTAAAGGGGTATGTAGACTCATTCTATTTCTTCACACTTGGTGATAATTGTATCATAAATAAGTTATAACTTCAATCTACTATCGCATTATCCAGTACGAAGGCTGAATATGTGGCAATTACTAAATTTGTAAAAGAATGTATCTAGTAGAAGTGAGTTTTGAGATAATAGAATTTTTTGTACGATTCACACATAATCTTCACTAATAGTCAAAGTGCTTTACTACTATGTAAGAATCCTATTTTCCATAAGAGATCCAAATACATTGAGGTGAAGTACCACTTTATACGAGAGAAAATTGCATACAATGAGTTCATTCTTGAAAAAAATCATGCACGTGTAAATCCATTTGACATAGGAACTAAAATTCTATCTATTGGTAAGTTCAAAACTTGTCTGTCTTTGCTGAATATTGATAAATGGTAATTTTTTGCAAATACCTGGGCGATGATGTAGGGTAAACTACCATCACGTACAATGTAGCAATTAGAGAGAGTAATTGGTTAGAGAAACACAAGGTAAAGATTGTAAAATGTGTTCTCTAAACCCATTTTCAAAAGTGGAAAAACGTTTTTCCTGGGTATAACCACTTGGCATAAATTAGTTGGCTGATTTACGGTGACTCGGATCTATGTTACTTATGGTTGATCTGGATCTAACTGCTGTAGCTTAAAGGCATATTTTGGACCCTTGAGTTGGCCCGGCTGATTGATGTTCATTCATTCATTTTCTCTCTAAATCTTGCGTAACCTTTCCTGTTCAAGGTCGGTGGTTTTCACTGTAAATCAGATCTAGTTTCTGGTTTTCTGGTGTAGTGTATAGTCAAATTTTGGTTGTGACTATGTATAGTTATCATTTGCAGAAGGTTTTCAATGTTCTTGTAGTTGATTAAACTGTATAGAATTTTGGCTACACTTGGTTACGGTCTTGAGTCAATTAGGGGTTGTTTTTCTTAAGATCTATATAAATCGGTGAAAATATCTCGGTTCTGATTATTGTGTTCTAATCTTGAACTCTCTTTTAAGCAGTTCTTTGCACATAGTGACGGGCTATTTAGCTCTGAGCCTCCAGATTAGGTGTTGTCAAATTGGGTGACCATTTCTTCAGTTGGTATTAACATTTTATGTGAGTTTGTGTTTCGGTGATTTACTTATTACCGATTTTAGTGCATGAAATCCTAACAAGCATCAATGAATATTTATGGTCAGATTTTTTCTGTGCAAATTTGCCTTCAAAAATTTGCGTTGGTAACTCTTTTGGTTGCTTTGATTGGCACCAGCGGAAGTGGAAATCAGAGCAAAAAGAAGTAGCAACAACCACAGTACCACGTACTGCAGAACAGAATAGATTCACAGCCACCCAAACTTTTCCGATGTCATTCGGTTTGATAAATGGTACTACCACTGCCCTTGCACTAACCACTGTTCCCATCAACAATCTCTCCACTTGGCAACATCCAAGTCCCATTATTTTGTCTCCCAAGCTCTTAATTGATTCCGAATAGTGTGATTTTTTCATCGGAAAATCACCAAAATAGGTTTAAAATGGATGAAAAATCACCAAAATCATTTTCACTCATGATTTTGCCTACCAGGCCTTTTGAAGAAAATGATGATCTATTCAATACAATATTTGGTTCTCAATCACAGCCATTGTTAAACCCTGAAATTTCGAAAGAATGGAATGCTTTGATTTGGATACTGAAATTGGAGAGATTGAAGAAGAATTGCTGTAATAATTTTAGAGAGAAATCCATTTGTGTGGTTAATGGTTTTGATATAAACAATTATTGTAACAATTTTAGAGAGAAAAGGAGAATGAGATAGTGCAAAGTGAAAAATAAAAATGGAATATAGTGCAAGGAAATTGCAATCGTTCATATTGGTTATATAAAATTGGTGAGGGTATAATGGGAATGGAATTGGGGACACATCGATATATGGTCACAGTGGTGATGACAGCGACGGTGGTAGAGAGAGAAAAGAGGAGAGGGAACTAATTTTTTTAAATTTTGATTTAATTTATTTATACTTTTTAAAAAAAATTCGAGACTATGATTACAACTTTCCCTACTACGATAAAGGAGGCAATATGCCAATTACTATTCAATCAGGACATATTTTATGTTTTCCTATTTTACCTTTCAATATCTCATAATATCCCATTTCACTTTTGAAACGTGGTCTAATGGTCTTCTCTATTTCTGCTTTTTTCCCAGGTTCCAGCCCATTTTGGACTGTTGCAGATTTGTCAGCCGAAATTATTGACTTCCCTATCTCACAAAGGGGCCCACTAATGGTATTATTAACTTTCCTATCTCACAAATGGGTCCACTAATAGTCAGAAAATCCTTTTCTTTTGGTAAAGAATCTATCTCTCCGCGCTGCGCGAAGAGATCGTTTGGCACCCTTTTTTTATTTTTTTTATTTAGTACCATCACTTTTTGAACCATCATTTTCATTTTCTCATGTAACTTCAATTTCTTTCTTTCTTGTTTTTTTGTTTTTTTGTTTTTTTTTACCTTATAAGAGTGAATATGATTTTTTACTATTCATTTCTGTCCGCTCGTGTTCACACTTAACGAGTTATTTTCTGGAATTTGTTTCTTAGGAAGGTCATTCAGTTTGAATTGGAAGAAAATCGCAAAACACGGAGACCACGATAAATGTTACTCACTACATCTCTGCATGAATACCATTTCAGCTTCTTATTTAGCTAATTTTCATCATTTATGAACAATTTATTGTGTGATTTTAATGTTATGTCTAGGTCATTTTGTTGAGAGTGGTTAAAGTGATCTTCATCTATTGCATTGCATTTCCTGAACATTATGATCTATCAGGTAATATTTTTACTACTTTTTTTCCCAATAAACTTTCTTCATCGTTCAATGGGTACATTTTAATATTTTGGTACATAGCACAATTATGAATTGTCAAATGTTTGTAAACTTAGAGAGATTAGTATCATCCCCATTAATTTCTTCCTTGGGAAAAAAATTGGTTAGCAAACACTTTTTAGTTGAATCTTACTAGAATATTATCCTTATTAAATTTCACTAATGATTGTCAATTTCTATAAGATATAGGTGAAAATATAATGAATTCTTTAATATTTGATACATTAATATTACTTTAAAAATACCACAATCCGTGCATTGCACAGAGCGAGAATATGGTGAGTACTATTCATTTATGACGTATTTTGTGTTTTCCTATTTTACCCTTGAGTATCCCATCACTACTAATGATCTTCCTACGCGTGTGTAGTGCTGCTGTTTTGCCTCATTTGAATTTTAACGTCCAAACAAAAAAATAGTTGACGTCATACTACATAATTTTTTTCAAGAAAATGATGTAAATTATATTGAGAAAATTGTCGCGAAAAAATAATAAATATTAATAAAAGAATTATTTAAAAAAAAAAGACAAGTTATACGCATTTTTAAACACATATTTGATGTACGTTTAACTATTTTTAATATTCATTTAGATCATTCAACGTGTTTATGATATAGTTCTCGAAATGAAATTCGACAGAATATAGAATATTTATATATTTGATTACTGTACAATCGTCGATGGATTTTTTAAGCTAGTTTGTTATCAAAATTCTTAATGTTTTAAATGATGTCTCTTTTGATATTAAAATTTTTTTTAAAGTTTATTAGAAATTTTTTTAAATGACGTCAAAAATTTTATTAGATTATTTAAAAAATTAATTGATCGAGAGGAAAAAGTAATAATAAGAAAAAAATTCTAAAAATATCGAACTTCTTTTATATATAAAAATTTTTAGATGTTAAAATAATCAAGATGAAAAATTAGTTGACCTCAATTTTGTGTTGCTATAATTGAAATGTATTTTCTGGGGATATGATAAATATTCCTTTGACGCATGGATTAAAAACCCAAATTATTGGAGCTTGTAATTTATATATCAAACATTATTTTAATTTGAGTAGTTATTTTACATATAAATGACATATTTGATGATAATTATATTTAATATAATTAAATCGTGTAATTAATCAAATCTTTTTTTATTGTTCAATCTCCAATTGATTTAATGAAAAGTTTTTTATTTACATGTAATATTATTTTATAGAAGATTTTGCGATTGAAAATAAAAGAGAGAAAAATGAAAAATAAATAAATAAATGGAGCCAAACACAAGCTGAGCCATAGTATAATATTTTGTCACTTAAATGGGATTGAGATTTTTATTTAATCACCCAATTTTTAGATATTTGAATTTAATCCTCCAAAATTTATATACATCTAAAATATTCAATAACGTCAACTAAATTAATCGACATCTTTTCATTGAGTATTAAAAATATTCAACATTGTGGTGATTCTTTTTGCTTGATTTGAATTTTTATGTTCAAAAGAAATAGTTGCTGTCATACCATATAATATATTTTTTAAGAAAATAATGTAAATTATATTAAGAAAATTATCGCTAAAAAATAATAAATATTAATAAAATAATTGATTTTTTAAAGAAAAAAGACAAGTTATACGCATTTTTTTGACACACGTTTGATGTACATTCAACTATTTTTGAAATTCATTTAGATCATTCGATATATTTATAATATAGTTTTCGAAATGAGTTTCGAGAGAATATAGAAGATTCATGCGTTCGACTATTGTATAATCATTGACCTACTACAATAAAAGAGTGAATGTGACTAGCACTATTCATTCATGACGTATTTTGTGTTTTCCTATTTTACCTTTGAATATCTCATGATATCCTGCTTCACTACTAAATTACTACTAATGATTTTCCTACGCGTGTATAATGCTACTATTTTGCCTGATTTGAATTTGTACGTTAAAAAAAATAGTTGACGTCATACCACATAATTTTTTTTTTTAAGAAAATGATATAAATTATATTGGGAAAATTGTCACGAAAAATAATAAATATTAATAAAATAATTGATTTTTTTAAGAAAAAGACGAATTATACGTATTTTTAATACATACGTTTGATGCACGTTTAACAATTTTCAATATTCATTTAAATTATTCGATATGTCTATAATATAGTTCTCGAAATGAGTTTCAAGAGAATATAGAAGATTTATGCATTCGACTACAGAACAATCGTCGCTGAATTTTTAAAATTAGTTTGTAATCGAAATTCTTAAATTTTTAAATGATATCTCTTTTGACATTAAAAAAAATTTAAAAGTTTATTACGAAATAGATTCGTATAAAAAAAATATATCAATCACCAAGAAAAAAAATGAAAAAAATTATTGAGCATTTTTGCTCAGTGACATGGAGCAGTTTTGCTCCTCTGCTCCGTGTCATGGAGCATGTGCAACAATATGTTTTTTTTTTTTTAAATGATGCTCCGTGTCGATTTTTTTTAAAATTGGGTGATTGATATCTTTTTTGTGTCAATTTTTTTCATTGGGTGATTTATTTAGTTTTTTATAAAAATCTACCATAAATCTTCTATATTCTCTTGAAACTCATTTCAAAAACTATATCATAGACACATCAAATGATCTAAATGAATATCGAAAATAGTTAAATGTACATCAAACGTGTGTATTGAAAATGCGTATGACTCGTATTTTTCTTTAAAAAATCAATTATTTTATTAATGTTTATTATTTTGTCGCAATAATTTTCTCAATATAATTTACATAATTTTCTTTAAAAAAAAATTTGTGTATGACATCAATTATCTTTCCTTTTGGAAGTAAAAATTCCTAATAAAATTATTATCACTTTATAATTTATATGTGTTATAAATTGTTATATAATTTTTCCTACTTTTCTCCATTCCTTTACGCAACATCTATAAAAAATATATACTACTTTTCTCCATTTCTTTACGCACCAATTAATCAAATTTGTAAATTTATTGTGAGAAATAAATAGATATTTTGACACATTAATATTACCGAAAAAATGACATAGTCCGTATATTGCACGGGTGGAAAACTAATATTGAGAAAATGGACTGCATGGGAATATTCCACACTAAAGGTTTCAAATAAGGCGTTTTGTGCTATTTTCAAGGAAGTTTTTTGTAGTATAACATATAGGTAGGAAATATTGTTCTATTTAACCAAATCAAAAATATTATAAAACGAATAATGGTTTCAATCCGAGTTATGCTGAGCATGTGTGCCTTAAAATAGTGTAATTAAAAAGTAAAAAAAATAAATTATTTGCAAAATATTTTATTGGTGAGAATGTGAAATTGAAAACAAGCCTTTGTTTGGCTCCATTTAATGAGATATTGGGAAAAATATATTTTGAAATGGTAATTTTTTTAGAGAAAGTGAGATTAAAAGTAAGAACAAATTTTAAATTTAGGTGTAATATTATTTTATTGAAAAATGTTATTAAAAAAAATGCAGTAAAATCTTATGGAGCCCAATTGGGGGCTGAATTTAAGAAAAAATTTGTTAATGTTGTCAAACAAGGGTTTTTATTATTACAATTTTGGTTGACAATACACACTTAAAAGTCAAGATCTATTGTTTACTTGCTGGTCATTTAATTAATTATTGACACATGATGTTAGTGATAAAGTTAATGAAAGTAAAATTAAGAGAATATGTTAATTATTAATGACATATCAATAATTAATTATATGGGTAATAAAATTGGACAGCAGACCTCGACCACACATTTGACAACATCATATTCATCTATTTTAAAAAAATAATTTTAAATTGATGGTCTAATTTTTGACAACATCAATATTGTTAACCACAATTGTCATAAAAAATGTATAAAAAATAATGTTATTCGTAATCGTTCACTACGATAGTCACCTTATATAATATAAACATGATAGACGATTATTTGATGCATAAATGTGACAAATTTTTTTTTATTAATGTAACTATTTGTTATGAATATGTCGTGTAAAACGATTATCGTGGTAAACAACTGTGAACATCATTATTCTTGTATCAAAAGCTCATTCTTCAAACCTCGTTATGTGTCAATACGATTGTCAGTAACCGCCTAGTTACCTAATCATTACCAAACTCCAGCTAATACAGAGTTTCGTCTTCCGTTTTCATAATAACTTGTGCTTCGACTTTCCTTTCCTCCCTCTCTCTAACATTCGGCGGCCGTGACCTGGGATCCAGACACCGTTTTTAAGAGTGGCGAAGAAACGTCAAAACCTAGAGGTCAAAAATGAAGATCTTCGTCAAGACACTTAAGGGCACCCACTTCGAGATCGAATTGAAACCGGAAGACACCGTATTTATCTCCTTCTCGCTCTATGCATGATGTCTATTTATTTATTTATTTTTATTTGTGTATGTGGAAGTTTGAACTGAATTATTATTTATCTGTTGGTAAGGTATGATAGGGTTTGGGGATTGTTAAGATTAGGATTCTAGATTATGTTTTGCGCGGATTGATATTTGTTCTCAACAATTGTCGTACAATTGAGTGAGTTCTCGTTTTTGCTTCGTAGACTTTGAGCTCTATGCCTGTTTTTTATGTCTGAATTTTTGTTTTAATTTCAACTTTGAATTTTTGTAATTCGAAATAGAGAATGACGAATATATGTTTCAACTGGATATTCATTAGCAAATTGGCGGGTCTTGATTATCAGCGACTGGATTAAACTTATGTTCATACTTTCCAGAGAAATATTACTCTAGGTTTGGTATACCTCACTTGAATTTCTACAGATTGAAAGCAATAGCAAACTCATTGGAAAATTAATTTTATAGCCTAAGTTTTTGTAAGTCGATGTTGAATATGGTTCGCAGGAACTGCTGTTCAAGTGACTGAACATCTGCTTTCGGTGATAAATACCACCCAAGAACAGCTGTTCTAGTGACTTTCGATTATGCCCTTTTTAAAGTTTGCTCCTGTTACAATTCAACAATGATTAGAGATTTGATTTAATAAGCTTCTCTAATTTCATGGCAAAGACAAATTTTGTTGAAAGTTATGGTGGACGATAAGTGTAGTATGTCTCAATTGATTGACTATTTGACGTGGGAGAGTCTAGACAGTTTCAGTTGCATTTTGTGTATGTTCATCTGCCTCTTGATGTTGTCGGTTTTACTACACTTTGAGTGATACTTCCATAATTTTTAGGCTTCTTGCCTTAACAAATGCCCCTATCATTTGATCCTGTCGAAATACTTGTCTCTGCCACAGCACAACTACAGTTCTTACGAACCGACTAGTCTGCTTGGAGGATAATCCTTGTTGCCTAAGTTTTTGTATATTCAGTTTTGTGGTGTTTCAAATGATTTAAGTGTCTGTTGAACTCTAGGTGGCAGATGTGAAAAAGAAAATAGAAACGGTTCAGGGATCAGATGTCTACCCTGCTTCTCAGCAAATGCTCATCCATCAGGGGAAAGTTCTCAAGGATGAGACGACACTTGAGGAGAACAAAGTAGCTGAAAAAAGTTTCGTTGTCATCATGTTAAGCAAGGTATCTGTTTTCACATTATTTGGATCTTATCATATCCCATAAGTTCTATATGGTTTTGCTCGAATGAAAATCATATCAATAATGACTTGCTATGTTTATGACTCAGACAAAAATGTGACTGCAGCGTAGGAAGAGGAGGCATTATTAAAGTAGACGAGTTAAACTAACATACAATTTCTTTTGATAATTTACAATTTGACAGCAGCTTTTTGATGTGCATTGTCTTTGTATAAGTTTGCTTCATTGCTGGTATGCCACTGAACATTTTTTGTTGGTGTGTTGTTGTGCATGTTTGTGGTTGTCAATTTTACGAGTTATATTAACTACAATGGAAAAAAGTATAATAATGCATTTATGTCAATTCACATCATGCATTCCACACAATTTAGTTTTGTAGCTTATTATGTTTGTATTTGCAACTTTTGCAGAACAAGGCTTCATCAAGTGGGGCTGCAACTGCATCAACTGCATCTTTGAGTAGGGTGTGTGAATCTGACCTTTACATCAGTTTCTTTGACAGCGTTTTTGGACTTGATTCCGTTTGTTGTCAAAATGGAATTAGGATTACATCAATCACATAGTAAATGCTCGCATATCTACTTGGCAAGCTTTGAACTGTCATTTTTTTTTCTTTGTGAATTTCATTTATACTTGAACTCCTGTTGCTTAACGTTTCTTTCTGGGCTTACCTTAAACTGTATTTTTATGGAGAAAGATATTCATAATTGCATGCGACTGCCATTCAGCTTAAATGTCTTGGCTGTTATATCTGCATGTGTGTGTATATCCTTAAGTTGAATGAAATGGAATAAGATATTGTCTTGATTTTAATTGTTGGGAATCATCTAATTGTTGTATTATGTGTTGATTAGTTATCAGTGCTAATGATTTTCATCTCTCTAGAACCAACCGGCAAGAAATACTCCTCCACCAGCACAATCTGTAACAGCATCCCCGACTCCTGCATCAACTTTGGCACCGTAAAAGCCATCTTTCTGCTCTATTTTTCATCAATTATAAGTAATTATTTTCTGGTTTTGATCCCTACTCTTCACCTTTTCATTTCTCGTGTGCAGTCCACAATCTGCCCCTGAATCTGTTCCTGCCCCTGCCCCTGCCGCAGCTTCGTGAGTACAAGTGATCTGTTTGTTTACTGCTAATAGGATATATCAGTTTTGAAACTGTCATATGAAAATTGAGTGTTAATTTACGTGTATTTATTCTTGAAACAGCTCAGAGACGGATGTTTACGATCAAGCAGCATCAAATCTTGTTGCTGGAAGTAACTTAGAGGCCACTGTTCAGCAAATTCTTGATATGGGTGGAGGTAGTTGGGATCGAGGTACTGTTATACGAGCTTTACGTGCTGCATATAACAATCCAGAGAGAGCTGTTGAATACCTCTATTCTGTGAGTCTTTCCCAAAAGTTTTGAACTCTAGATACATGGTACTCGGATTTTGGCCTGCGTTTTCATTTTGCTAAAAGGAAAAAAATGTCTGGTAGAATTAGTTCCTTGAATCATTTAGTTGCTCCTTTTTATATAAGAGTTCTATTTCAGGGTATTCCTGAGCAAGCAGAAGTTCCTCCTCCTGTTGCTCAACCTCCTGCAGGTGTGCAGCCTGTGAATCCTTCAATCCAGGCAACAGAGCCAGTGGTGCCTTCGAGTGGACCCAATGTCAATCCTTTAGACCTTTTTCCACAGGTAGAAATTTGTTTGAATATAATTTGAAATATCTTTGAAAAAAAAACGAATAATAAAAAAGACTTTTAATTGGTCGTTCCTATGGAACCAGGGCATGCCAAATGTGGGTTCAAATGCGACTGGTAACTTGGATTTTCTTCGCAATAGTCAACAGGTACAGAAAGCTGTGTTTATTAGGAAACTAAAAAACAATTATGGTTTGATTCTGTTTGACATATTTTTTTTTTTTTTCAGTTTCAAGCTCTGCGGGCCATGGTGCAAGCCAATCCTCAAATCTTGCAGGTACTAGTTTCACACTTCCAATAAAATTAAACAGTGTCAGGCAGAAATGCTGATTTGTCCTATGATGATGTTGCTGCAGCCTATGCTTCAAGAGCTGGGGAAGCAAAACCCACAATTAGTGAGGTTGATTCAAGAACATCAGGCTGACTTTCTACGCCTAATAAATGAACCTGTTGAAGGGGAGGGGTGAGAGGATCTACTGTAAATTCTCCTATTGTCTTTTTCTTCTTGGGAAGTTGTATCCAGTCAATAATAGCTTTTGTCTTTCTCTGGTTCACTGATCCGTCTTACTCTTTCTTCATATATCCTGGCAACTGACTTGAAATGCCAATAATGATTCAGGAACATAGAAGGGCAACTTACCGATGCAATGCCGCAGACTGTGACTGTCACACCTGAAGAGCGGGAAGCAATTGAACGTGTAAGTTTTTCACTCTCAATTTTTGTTTCTTTATGCATGTTTCAATACGCATTTTGTAGCACTTGTTTGTTGTTTAGCCTGATGAGATGGTTTGAGCTTCTTGGCAACTTTGACCACATGGAGTAATGTCTGGAAACGTGAGAGATCAAAGAACTATGATTGTTAGACTTTAGTCTTTAGGTTATCATTTAGCAGATAGCAAGGGATTTTGGATTATCGTGTCAAACGCTTCTAAATAATTCTTACCCACTACTGTTCTTCAAATTGTAGTTGCATTTCACAAGCAGAGGACTATGCTTTGAGTATTTGTCTGCTGTAGTATCACCAGTCGCCAGTCACAAATTCTGAAGATTATATAATGTAGATCTACATGCTAATTACCATAATTTACGTTGTTTTCACAGAATGTAGTGTTAAACAACTGTGCATTAATAGATAGCATAAGATCCACGAGTACATGCCATATTTTGAAGGGTGATTTTCTCTTGTGGATTGATTTACGAAGTCTTAAACATATATTTGGCTCGGTGATTGGGGCTTTCTTACGCAGCTTTTTGTTAAAGGTGTGACGCCTGTAGCAATGTTTACCTAACAAAACCAAGCAAGTAAAAACTACCTTTTTTCATGTTGAAACAAACTCAAGAGTACTTTGCACGTGCATCTATGCACGAGTTTGATCTCTGTCATTCATTGCACTACTCTCCTGTATGGTATCATTGGTATGTTGCTGGATTCTTGTTACTTTCTCAATCCCAACAACCACGATTATTTTGTGTGTAGAACCCTTTTCTAGAACAATGGATAACATCTTTCAACGCTGCACTTTTGGTTACATAGTCAACATCCTTCGAAGTCATGATACAAATAGGGATTGAACAGCATTATGTCCGGAAGCCGTGTTCCATGTCTTTTATCTGTTTATTAATTTAAATCACATGTTAAATCCCTTATCATTCTTTTAATTTTATTTTTTTAAAATCAAAACTAAAGGACGTGTAGCATATGTGTCCAAGAACTTGCAAAATGAAGTCTGTAATGTCATGTTTTCCATGCTTGAAGCTTCCCATCTTTTTACCTAGATGGATTCTCAACAGTCTAGAATTTGCTTACTAAACATCAGTTTTATCTTGCAGCTTGAAGCTATGGGTTTTGATCGAGCTTTGGTGTTGGAAGTATTTTTCGCTTGCAACAAGAACGAGGAGCTGGCTGCAAACTATCTATTAGATCATATGCACGAGTTTGACGAGTAAAATGGTTTAAAATGAAGTAGATTCTTTTCTATGGTTTCCTCTTTTCGCATGCAAGAACTTTTCTCTTGCCATGTGAATTAACTATTACGCTTTTTCAAAAACTCTGTACTTTGGATACGAAAAATAGAACTATTCAAGTACTTGTCTTATTATTTATTGTCCTTGGAGTGCTATCCTCTTTGTTTCATTTTCATCTTGGTAAGTTTTTATTCTTTTATTATATAAAAAACATTTGGTAGGGATTAAAATCTAAATTTTAATTTAAGTAAAAGTCGAAAGACCTAAGCTTTATAGATGAAGGGAGTTCCGACTATTAGATTAGTATTGATGGCAGTCTGGATTCAAATATCACACATTTCATCAAAATTTACTATAATTCTGACTTTAATCCTCAGGGCTTAATCATTTTCAAGCGTAATAAAATTTTGCATACAGAAATGGTTAACGGTGAGTTTCTAATTCTCACATCAAGACCCTCTCAATCTTGTTTTTGTTCCAAATACATACAAAGAAGTCAATTTAAGCAGAAAGATCGACTAAAGATGCTAACGAGCTGACCTTGATCCGCTTATAATTAAAAATTAAGAGCACGCCCCACTTAATGAAAGGTTGCAAACAATTTCAGCTGTGAAGTGTCGTACATATAAGCAAAAATAAAATGTGAAACCTTAACTTACAAACAAGTCCCGTTACTCAGCTGCCACAAATTGATGATATGAGCAGCTTGATTGAGCAAAACAACCTTCTGTTTCTTGGAAATCCAAGGTTTACGCTCCAGCATAGTTTTAAGCTCCTCGCAAGCATCTTTTCTTGGCCAAAAATAGTAAGGACTCAAAGGAATAGTCCCACCACGACCTCCTGGAATCACTTGGTCTATAGCTATTCCAATGTTCTTCTCCATCCACACGAATTTCAGCACTAGTCTTGGTCTCTCCATCGTCTTCACTACAACTCCCAGCTTCTGTTTATCTTGATTACTGCCATGATTCTCCAAGATTGATGACGTTTCTTGAGTTGGGGATGAAGACGAACAGGAAATATTAATGGGTTTGAGTTTTCTTGTGTTGGGTGGATGAACTGTATTTGGAAAGCTTGGATGTTTGGGGGATTTTGCTGGGTTTAGGAAATTTGAAGCATAATTTGCTGTATTGCCCGTATTTTGTCGAATGGCCAGAGGTAATAGCATTTCTGTTGGCGAGAAGGTAAGGACTATGGTTTTCTTTCAAGGGGAAAGGAAAGCTCGTGTCTTGTATGAAATGGAGATAAGGTAACGGAGAATTGTAAATGGGTAAATATATTACTAACACGAATTTTATTTATCCCACCATTAACATAAACATTTAACTGAAAATTTGATAAATATCCTATAGTCAAAATCATTTTACAAACATAATTCTACACTATTAAAGAAAAGGTGATTAGCACAAAACGTTTCTATCTTCCAATATTTTTGTACAAAACATTTCTGCGTTTCGATTTTTGGTATTGTCATCCATATTTTTACCTTTCATTATCAAAAAGTCATTCCATTCACTTATCGTCAATTGCTTCATTAATTCCACACAAAAAGCCAATTTTCTTTTGTGTAATTACATTCACGCAACAATTTTTTATATTTACAACACATTTTAATTACAAGAAAAGTTTTCAATTTTTATTTACTTTTACTTTTATGTCCTCGACTTTTTTCTCATTGTATTGTTATTCTTCACAATTACGATTTTTATCCAAACATTCTACTAATGTGCATTGGAAAGAGGGACAAATATCTTTTTATTAATTATTTATTTCTATTATTTAAAAATACGAGAGATAAATATATATTTTTCGTTCTCGTAAAAAACATTTTGATCGAAAATTGGCATTACTTGCTGTGAAGATGGAAAGAGGGTTGATGATAAAATGTTTTTTTGAAAAAAAAAAAAAAGTTGAGAACATAAATGTAAAAATAAGAAAAGTTTAGATATATTCATTGCAATTGAAATGTGGTGTAGATAACAAAAATTGTGGCGTGAATAGATTCACCCATTTCTTTTCAAATAACAAGGGCAATACAATCTTAAACCAAAGTTTTCTTTCCTTTCTGCCTTCAAAATTAATTTTTTTTTAATAACTAACAGTATCGTTAATATGAAAGTAATTTATAAAATTATTCCATTAAATAAATAACAATGACGTAAATAATATTCCATTTCACCCTGGGAAAAAATGACTGTTGTAATAGTGGATTACTCATAAAATTTGGAATGCTTGATCCCTTTTTTTGCTTATTAAGGATGTAACTAAGGCGTAAAATGAGAAGAACAATGGCACATTTGGTACTGTAAATAACTTACCAGGTTTCAACAGTCAATGTCTTATCAAATTTCAATAGAGAGGATGAACTGGACCTCTTTTTTTCTTTGTAGAATGAAATTAAATTTGTGATAATCATCCTAGTGATGGCAACAGGGCGGGCCGCGCTTGGCCAAAACCTCGCCCCGTGCCCCACCCCGTCTTTGTTGCTTCGTTTAATTTTTTTTTTTAATTTTTTTTTTTCACATTTTGAAAGTTTCAAATTATGTTATTATTAAAAAATAAAATACAAATTCAAAATAGATTTTTAACGGGTAAATTGCTTAGAAATAAAATTATTTTTAATTTTTTAACTGCCCCGTCAACCCGTTCAGGGCGGGACGGGGTAAATTGCCATCCCCTAAATCATCCTACCTATTAATATGTTTTGCACGTAACAACCTTACCTTTTAAAGTAATTTGCGTAAAACATCTTTACTTTTGTCAAACATTGTGCAAATTGTCCATACCTATTTTGAGTTGGATTTTGCTTGTTTGCCAAGTTGAGGCCTCACAGGCTGTTTACAGACTTCTCCCCAAGAGATCGGTCCCACATGGGATCCATGATGATAAAAAATTGTACAAAAATCACGGGGTACTTTTTAAATTGGTTTGGTCAAACAACCAATTTTCCAGTTTGATCATTTTTTTTTGTATTCACCACATTGGCCTCTTGTCAATAAAAAGACAATTATGCCCTGATTTATGTTTCACAATTACAAAAGTATATCAATTCTTTGAAAGACAATAATACCCTTAAAAGTTTAAATAAATTCAGTTACTTCCATACATAAATTTCAAAATCAGTTTTGCTTATCAGTTTCTCCAATACAGTAAAAAAGAATTTTTTCCTTCCATTTGCTAAAATATTGAAATCTCCCAAAATTATCAAAGGTTCAACAAAGAAACAAAACTCACAGTCGACACTGAAAATTGGTAAGTCTAAATACGTATTTTTAATTTTGTTTTAGTTAAATTTACTGTTTGAATCTTTAAATCTTTTTTTTGACAAAGGCAAATGAATTTTACAGTATTTAAACACAGATATATAATTTTTTTATAGCAAAAATAACAAAAAAATTCATCTCTGTATGCATATATTTTACAGGAAAAATTTATAGGTGTCTGTAAAATAAATATTTAAACATTATTTCGTTGAAAAAGGGAAAAAATAAAAAATTCGAGCATAAATTCCAGATGAAACGGACGAAAAAAGCTGGGCTAAATGTTTCCAGCCGGCCCAGTTATTTGGGCCAGCCGGAAACATCCGACCCAGCCGGCCAATTTTTTTCCCCCTCCCCTCCACTTTCAAATTTTAGAATTTATTTGTTCATTAATATATGTTTATTGAAATAAATATTAATGAATATTTAATACTGATTGAAATAAATATTTTTAAAACAATTAAAATAATCAATGAATTATTTAAAATATTAAATTAAATAAAATATGAAATGAACAATTTAAAAAATTATATATTAATTCCTTATTTTTAATTTGTGGCAGATATGGCATCAGCATGTATCCCAATTTGTTACTTTGATAAATTTCAAATCAATGAAAATGTTCAGTGGGAATGGAAAAGGACGAGTGAAGGAGATGGGGTTGAAGCAATTTTTATAACAAGGAGTACATCGTTTGTAGAAATGTACAGTGATATACAAAACATGCTTAACGTCGATCCCTCTCAGTACGATATGGAATTGGGATTTTTGTTTCATAAGCATTCAACTATTCCAATTCTACCTATGAAAGTTACTTCTGAAATGGAAATGAAACATCTAATTAAATTAAACCAATGTCGAAAGTCGACTCCTATTTGCGTAACTTTATTGGGGACGAATGTCCACGAGAGTGAACACGAAGTTTCAAATAAAGAGAATCGTAATGTAAATAATGTTTGGGATACAATTCAGATTGTTCTTGAAGATGATGTGGTTATTCCCGAGACCACTGCTACTCACCATGATCACACTGTTACGCACAGAATTTCATCGATAATTGAAGACAACGAGAATGAAAACGCATTTACAAACGAGGATTTGATTGCTTTATCCCGTAGGAGACATGAATCGGGTGGGAGCTCACAGGCCGGATCGAGTACACGGTCCTTTAATTGTTCGCGTGTAGTTCCCGATGATGAAGATGTATATGTTGAGCAACTATTCGAATCAAAGAAAGAATTGCAAGAAGCTGTGCACCGGATTGCTTCAAAATATAACTTCGAGTTTAAAGTGAAGAAATCAAACAAGTCGACGTACACAATTATCTGCATTAACGACAGTTGCCATTGGTGTTTGCGAGCAACTAAGATGGACACGAATGAGTTCTTTGTAGTCCGTAAGTATGCATGGGAATATACTTGCGAAGTGGGTATTCGTCGAAATGATCATAGGCAGGCCCGATCATGGTTCATTGGTCGAGATATAATGCACAAATTCCAGGATCCACGAACGATCTACAGACCTTCGGACATCATTAATGGTGTTCGACAAGAGTACGGGGTGGTCATGAGCTATCAGAAGGCTTGGAAGGCTAAAGAATATGCATTGGAGGATTTGATGGGTTCGACCGAGGAGAGTTATGCTAAATTAGCTAAGTATTTCATTGCTTAAATGTTTATTTCTTTGTTATTTTAAATTTTAATTATTTAATTTTAATTGTTTATTTATATGTAATTAATTATTTAATTAAATTGTTTATTTTTCTGTTCATTTAATATTTAATATATTATCTAAATTATGATTATTTTTATTTACATTGGCCAGATATTGCTATAATATGAGATGAATTAATACTGGTCAGCATTTTTTATTGAGAAGGATAACAAAAATCGCTTCAAATATTTCTTTATGGCCCTTGGACAATGTGTTCGAGGGTTTCGAAATGCAGTGCGACCCCTAATCTTAGTCGACGGTACAACCCTTAAAGCGAGATACGGGGGCAAGTTGATTATTGCAACATGCCAAGATGCGAACATCCAAATTTACCCTCTTGCGTTCGGCATAGTTGACGGAGAAAATGATGTAGCAATGAGTTGGTTTTTCACGAAGTTGAGGGAAGTAATTGGAGATGTCGAAAATCTTGCATTCGTAACCGATCGAGGGCAGTCAATAATAAATGGTATCGCCGAAGTCTTCCCCGAGGCACATCATGGTTATTGTATGTACCATATACAGGGAAACTTGAAGACCAGGTATCGAGGCAATGGCATCGTTGCGTTGTTTAGGAGAGCTGAAGAGGCTTACAGTTTTGAAGAGTTTGATAAGTTCATGGTCGAAATAGACAGTAAATCACATGCTACATGGGAGTATTTAACAGAGATGGGGATTGAACATTGGGCATGATCACATTTTCCAGGACGTCGATACAATATGATGACGTCGAACAATGCGAAGTCGCTTAACACTTTAGTCAAGAAAGATCGAGAGTTACCAATTCTCGCAATGATTGAGAACATTCGTGACAAGCTACAACAGTGATTTCAGGATCGACGCGAGGAATCACAGAGTTGTGCAAGTGTGCTAACCCCGGCTCAAGAAGATAAGCTCTTCAAGACTCTAGATGTGGCAAGAAAGGTATATGTAGAACCACTGGATCGATTTCGCTTTTCCGTGAGATGTGCACGTAATTTCGGATACATTGTGGATTTGAATGATAACACGTGCACGTGTAAACAGTTTCAGTTGGAGAGTTTTTCGTGTACAGATGCAGTGACAGTGGCTATGCATAGAGGATTACCACCACACACCTTATGCAGTATGTATTACATGAATGATTATTGGAGAGCAACATATGCGGAAACAATATTTCCTGTACCAAATGAAGTCGAGTGGGAAGTGCCCGACCACATTCTCCCACTGAATAACTTGTTGCCACCAGCAGTTGGACCACGTACTCCTGGACGTACACGTACGTCTAGAATACCATCTACCGGAGAGTTTCTCCAACCTCGTAAATGCGGTAGGTGCAGTGCAACAGGGCATACTAGAAGATATTGTACAAGTCAGATTCCTCTACATGACAATGTAACGGATGTGTAATTTTAATAACTATTGGCAATGTAATTATTTATAACATTGACGTTAATTATTTATACATATTATTTATGTGAATTATTAGATTTAGTATTTTTTCAAACATTTCATTCATTACATTCATTTGTTATGCATATTATTTATGTTAATTATTTGAAATCGAAGCTTTTTCTAGGCACTGCATTATACGGTAGGCTGCATTGTAAAATAAATATTTAAATATTACATAAATAATCAACATTTTACAATTCTTTCGTAATTACAAATAAATGAATGAACTATACAATGTTTAAATAAATGTAAAAATATGTACAATTATTTACGGATCCCCATTAAATTCAAATAAATCACATACTAGTTTATTTCTCTAATTTTGAATCCATGCCTGGTTGATTGCATCAACCTTATGTGCCATACTAAAAAATTCTATGTACTTGATTACAAACATGTCGCAATCACCTCTACAATTAAACAATGTTGTATTAGCACATCGAAAATTAGTTAGAACCTAATATGTAAATGACAAAAAGAAAATTACAAACACTTACGATATTTGTTGTCTCACCGTCGTTGTGTTCCGCACGTTGGCCAATCTGTCCTGTACAGTGATGTTCGCTTGTCTAGTCATCATGGGAACGATCACAGACACCGACTCTAGATTTTGCTCGAGCTGGCTTTGTGTCAGGCATGAATGATCGGGGTCGTACACATATATCGTGGAGTCGGCGAATACGATTTCCACTGTAATGTAGTGATGATTCACACATACTGGTATGTACATATGCGTACAGCCATCCCATAGCTTTCCACCGACACTCGGCTACATCCCTACGACCCATTCCATCATATATTCCGGCACCGTGTACTCGCTACCCATAGCTTGGAATGACTGGTACTCAATGTCAATAGTACGGATGAACTCGGTGTTCAATATGAGTCTGTCAGGAATGTTGAACGATTTTGGATGTCTTTCAGCACGATCTCGTAGCAAATCCATGCTCAAGTCGATGTGCTACATCAAGAAACACCAATAAAGAAAGGAGTTAATCTATGAATTTCATTCAAAAAATTGATTTTGAACATACATAATAAATAACAATATTTTCATTTCACTTACATCGTCGGCGAGCCAAGCCCCCGAAGTGGTGATGTCGTGGAACCACTTGTAAGCATTTGAGATCGTCTTCTCAGCAATCATGCGGCTGGCCCTGAAAAAATAAGAACAGAATTTTTAGTTATAAGAAGTATACATGTGTCAGAGTCTGCGTCTGCGTACTATACTAATTATATAAAATAAAAAACTTACCCAGGCTGCAGTGCTCTCCACTCTGTCTCAAAGGCTTTCCACTTGGCGTGGTCCACCTCCCTGAATAAATTCGGGTGCGTCCCATCGACGAACCTTCTCCTCTTCGCCTCCGCGGTAAAGGGAGAAAGAACATACTATGATGATACCCTTGGCCTCTTGCCGACCACCCGCTCCACCAAGTCAATGGCCATCGTCCTCTCCTCATGCGTCTCGAGAATCTCCATCTCCCCAGCTATCGGGACGACCCCCTCGCCCGCTATCAGGACCACCTCCTCCGACACAAAGACCACGTCCGGCGAGTCTGGCGTCTTCTCAGGTACCACCTCCACCTCCACCTCCGATACCCTCTCCTCCTCCGGTGCCCCCTCGACATCCCCGGGTATCCTATGCACGGGTACCACCTCCACCTCCAGTACCATATCCTCCTCCGGTGCCCCCTCAGCATCCCCAGGTATCCCCTACACGGGTACCACCTCCACCTCCACCTCCGATACCCCCTCGACGTCCTCAGGTATCCCCTGCACGGGCACCCCCACCTCCTTGGGTATCCCCTCTGCATCGGGGTGACGTCATCTCGGGTACCACCTCCGCCTCCATCTCCGGTACCCTCTCCTCCTCGGGTACCCCCTCCACGTCCTCAGGTATATCCTACACGGGCACCCCCTCCACCACAGATATCCTCTCTCGCTCCTCCATCCCATCGTGTCATTTAAAAATAAATCAAATGCAGCAACTGATGGCCACGATGAGTCAACATACCCCATCTGACCCCCTCCCCCCTGATAACCACCGACCCTTCCGTCATTCCCTCCGTCCCGATAGCCGCCAGTCCCTCCGTCTCGATAGCCACCAGTCCCTCTGTCACCCCCTCCGTCACGATAGTGACCTGTCCCTCCGCTACCTCCTCCATCTCGATAATCGCTCGTCTTACGCAGGCCTGCTATGTCACCCCGTATCGCTGCAACCTCAGCATGAAGGTCTCCTAACACAGCTCGTAACATCGCGACATCATGTCGTAACTGTGCCATGTCCTCGAACTCAGCTCGTAGTGTCACGACATTATCCCATAACTCTGCCATGTCTCCTCTCATCTCCATCAGGAGTTCGAACAAATCAATCGTCGAAGTACATGGACTAGGTGCAGGAGGTGATACTGGACGGCCCTCCTGAAAAAATAACTATTACAAATGAATAACCTAACAAATAAAACAAAACGACAATCGAAGAATTATTTTTAAGTAACATACTCTATCTCGATCAACACTGGACTCAGGCATCCGAACCTCTGGCGTAACTGGACGTGATCTTCTCAGCGGAGGTGACATCCTCGCTGGACGTGCTCTCCTCGGTGGAGGTGATATCCTCAATGGAGGTAGTACTGAACGATCCTCCTGAAAAAATAAATATTACAAGTGAAGCACTTAATTACAAGATCAAAGCGATATTCAACAAATCTTGCATAGTAACATACCCTATCTCGATCCATCCTGGACTCAGGCATCTGATCGTCATGCGCTGTACGAAGAGGCAATTCGCGAATATAAAACTGACTCTCCTCCTCGATCAACGGTGCCAATTCAGTGAGGACTTCAAGCTGTCATTTTGATATGTCATAGTTAATGACTATGTATTCAGATTGTAAAAAGACGTACAACATAAATAACAATTGTATAATACGTACCTCAGGATCGTCGAGGAGAGCCGATAACTGTCTGGCAAGAGGCTTATCTTGTGCTCGCCAGTGATGCATCCGAGGATAGCGTGTCTCTCCTCTCCTCACATACCGACTGGCCAAGATGGGGACAGTCTCGTACACCCATATCTGAAACAATTACAATTATTATGTATAGAATTCAATAAAAAAAGTGTAGATAATTCATTAACTTAAACATATACCTGCAGCGCCAACGGCAGTCCATATGCATCGTACTTGCGCTCGGGCTTATCCCCCTTTGGCATTGAAAACCCCCTCCTAAACACACGTAATGTATGAAGAAAACATCTCCAGTCCCATGGGTAGTTGTTGAAGGCATCAATATCATCAACAACCTCCAAATGGAAAATGTCAATCGATGTCGTCTTGTGATGACACCGGAGTATGCTCTCGATGATAAGCACCAAGCCCAACTTCAGCCTATCAGACATCCGATCACATCTCCTTAATGCATCTCCTAACTGCGCTAGAGTAACCGTCGTCTGTCCATGAAAATATTCATTCAACAGTCTCCTGTTCCTCGGAACACAGGCTCTCGCCTCTGCATCGTCCGTACATCGCAATCCAGTGACGAGGGCAAACTCAAATATGGAGAACGTGGCTACCTTGCCCTCAAGATCAAAATGGAGGGCGTCTCCGTTAATTGGCTTCAGCAAGCGACATAACAAGGTATCGAGCAGCTGCCCAGACCACTGTACATCATGCAACGAATACAATGGCCATAAGCATGATCGACGTAATATATCTGCGTGATCGTCATCCAACAAATCTAATACTAAAGCAAAGCTGGTAAAGTTACAATTCGACGTAACTTTACCAGGGATCTATCTGACAACGTCGTCCAGATGATATTCCATCCTACAAAATTTCAAATATTAGAACCCTATGCAAATGATGTTCGATAAATAAAAATATTAAAAATATATACTAACACACTGCTACTAGATGCAATAACCAATCGATAACGGAATAAACAAAATGAACGTAAATTACTATTTTTCATATACTTAATTTGCTAATTTGATCGTTTATTTTAATATTTTAATTGCTTATTTTAATTATTTATCTAACACTTAATTTACTTTTTCATTTTTAATTAATGTTTAAACACTTATTTTAATTCTTTACGCATATCGCTTATTTCATATTTACAAATTTATTTTAATTGCTTCGTAAAAAATTAATTTAATTGACATTTTCATATCCTAATTTAATTGTTTATTTTTATTATTTCACAAATGTTTATATATTTATTTAAATTCTTTATGCATATTACTTATTTAACATGTAATTAATTATTTTAATAACACTTATTTTGATCGTTTATTTTAATATTTTAATTATTTTTCTAACACTTAATTTACTTTTTCATTGCTAATGAATGTTTAAATGCTTATTTTAATTATTTACGCATAATACTTATTTCATATTTACAAATTTATTTTAATTTCTTTGCAAAAACTTAATTTAATTAATATTTTAATTTTCAAATTTAATTGCGTATTTTTATTGTTTTACAAATGTTTAAATATGTATTTAAATTATATATATATATATTTAAATATTTCTTTTAATAATTTTACTAACACTTATTTTGATATTTTAATTGCTTATTTTAATTATTTTTCTAACACTTCATTTACTTTTCATTTTTAATGAATGTTTAAAAACTTATTTTAATTATTTACGCATAATATTTATTTCATATTTACAAATTTATTTTAATTGCTTCGCAAAAAATTAATTTGATTGATATTTTAATTTTCAAATTTAATTGCGTATTCCTTTTTTTTTTTACAAATATATATATATATATACACACACACACACATTATAAAAAGAGTTCAAGATTTTATTTCAAGGCAGAGCGAATTCAGCAAGAAGAAGTTTTATCTTTTTATTGTAATTTGTTCTCTCAAATACTTTTCAATTATCATTGTAATATTTAAATCTTCTTCAATTTTCAATAAAATTATCTATTTTCATAAATTTATGTTCCTCTATTTCATCTCCTACCCCCTGGGTCTTTTATGGTATCAGAGCCATAAGTGAAAAGAAGTGAGATTAGTCTAATCTTATACGATAGACTGTTCAAAATAGGTGAGTCTGGTTTAAACCTGGATGTCTGCTGAATAGACGTTGGCCAGCCCTGTAGACGTTGGTCAGCCGTGTAGGTGGTCCCGTTTGTAGGCTTGGTAAGAATCCTATTTATCCCATTTTGCTGTTTTTATTGTGTAATTTTATTTTGATTTCATTATTTTCAATTATGTCTTCGGTTTCTAATTGGTTTAGGAGATCTAGGTCTAGAAATAGATCACAAAATCAAAATGAAAATAGTTCAAATGTTTTTCAAAATGAAGAAGAAGTTGACAATGCATCAAATTCATCTGCATCTGTATCAAATGATTTCAATTCAAATGAACTTCAAATTGCAAAAATCGAACAATAACTTCAAAATTGGACTATTCCAAAGATAGACAAACATTCTATCTATGAAATAGGAAAATTTGATTTTACTCAAAATTATGTTATCAAAACTTTTGAACAAACTATTTCAATTAATAGTTCAAATGCATTCATTAATTTATTTTCAAAAGAATCAATTGAATCTCATAGAAAGAGATTTAAATATCTTCATGTTGGTTTAGTTCAAATTGCTGTCAAACCTTTGTTTAGACTTGGTCTAGACATTCCTATTCTCATTACTCTTAGAGATAAGAGACATCTTAATTTTAAAAACTCTCTACTTTCACTCCTTGAATCAAATCTTGAAAGTGGTCCAATTTTTTCAAATTGTTATCCAAATTTCTCAATAAAACTTTCAGATGGAGCAGTTTTGAATGCTCTAAATCTTCATATTCAGACTAGAAATCTTGAGTTTGATAGTCGTTCAAATGCTTTTGCTGTTATTTACAGAATTTATTACAAACTCATGAATACTCAACTCAATATAGGCGCTCTTAGATCTTCTCCAAAAGAAGAAAGTCTTTTGGTTGAAGTTAATCCTTTTCATTCAAGTGTCGAAATTCCTAAAAGAATTCCCTGGAATCTTCAATCCAGAAATTTAGAATGGAATTTTGATAATATTAAAGCTCCAACTCCAGTTCAAACAAATTCTACTCCAAATGAGATTTTAACTTTTTCTGATGGAAAAGCTAAAGTTATTTTTCAAGGATCTTCATCTAGAATTCCGAGATCTAACTCTTCTAGATCATCTAGATCTGAAGAAAGAATTAAGAATTCTTTCCAACCTTCAAGAAATTCTACTTCATCTTCTTTTAAAGGAGTCGATTTTACTCCTATTATTCCAAATCCTTTTTATCAACCTAAAGAAAAAGAAGAAGACTCAGAACAACCAGAGTCTCCTACCTTTTCTGACATGGTTCCTCCTTCAAATTCCGATCTTGATCA